AAAAACCTGTGCCCGCCAATATTCTACAAAATAAACCTTTCAGAAAAAAAAACTTGATGCATTTGTCTTATCCTGAGGAGAGTTGATTTGTTCATTTGAGAGCGCCCATTGTTTTGCCGTCTGCTAATGATACTGACCTGGATGCTGACAGACGCAGTCCGGTTCCGCCCCATTTGACAAGATCGTCTGCAAAGAGTCCGAATTCGGGGTAAATTTGCAAGGGATTTCCACAGGCCTTGGGTCTCTTTGGATCGAATAAAGAAGAATAAAAACGGAAAAATGAGTAAACTTTAACCCTGATTATAAAAATATTTTGAAAAGTAGTTTTATTTCATGTTACACTAAATCAATTTAAATCGAGATGACAAATTCCTGTATTTAACTCTAATAATTCCCAGAGCCTGTGATCTCGTGACGTCATTTGGCAGCAAGACGACAAGACGCACATGGAGCACTTACAACACAGATTTTCATAAAAATGGCGCTTTCAGTTTTGGAATTCAAGAATTTCGATTTTATACCAGACGGGTTTCACAGCTTTGAAGAGACTGTTACGTACTGCAAGAAGTTTACTGAAGTAAGTAGGAAGAAGTCTAACTTTGCATTAGGCCTATGTGTACTATAGACATATGGGCTCTTATGATGTTATAAACAGGAGGGAATGAATCAATGTAGCAACAGCAGTTTGAGTCATAGTGCATCATTTTGGTATTAATATATTATCACATGCATGTATCTTAGGAACCATACAAGGTTCGCCAACATTTTTCTGATTTTCGTAGACAGCCATTTTTGTCGTGTAATATATAGTTTTGAATTTGCCCAGGTTTAAGAGTTCACTTGTAGTGTTTAAGGTGTTAATTCATAAACGTGTTGATTTATCTTAAAAGGATACAATGTAACTTGCCGTTTACAATGTGAAAATCCATTTCCTGGCTGTATAATAATGTCACTGGTATGTGTCCGCTTTATTAATAGTTATATGGATGTACTAAAAGTACAAAGTACAGTGCAGAGAGATATGTATGTGTGTTTGTGTGTGTGTGTGTTTGAGCTGGGGGGGTAGGTGAAGGTTATGTTTTCCAATTTATTTTTTTACTTGCCCGACTATTTTCTTGAGCGTGAAAATAGGTGGGGGGAGGGTTTGGTAGCTGACCAAGAAATACCAACATGTTGCATGCCAACAAGAGGCTTATTTCAATAGCTATTTATTTCATATCATTATTTAATTACACGATAATTATGCACAGTGATATACTGCTTAAAAGATTTTCTCAGAGGAAGATAAATACTATTGTCAAAACTAATTAGAACCTTCAGCCTGAAAGATTGCATTTATTCCTTCGATCTAAGCCTTGTCTGAATGGAATGTGCCTGGGATTTCATAATACTGGCACTGTTTTCAAACCCTGCTTCCTCTTGCACTCTCTACCGTCACCTTCAACCTTTTGATCACTTTATGTCAAAATATGTTTTGAGAAATTTCAATATTTTATATGCTTCCAAGGTTTTCTTGAGTTTCATTTCAGAAAGTGTAAAATGTTTGGATGAGGTTGTAAACATGTTCTCCAATTTACTGAATATAAGGGACCATTCCCAGAGACCAGCGTACTAACTTTGGATTGATCTATCTCCAAGGGGATTCTCACTTAATTGCAGTTAACTTGGGCAGCTAAGATGTCTGTCACACCTTCTGAAGCTGATAGGGGATAATTAACTATTGCTTAGCAGCTTTAGCAGGCATGCCAGACATCTTAGCCACTTAAGCTGAAAGCAATTTAGGGAGAAACCCTGTGGAGATGGACCAATTCTGTTTAATCAATCTAGGGATGACAACCCAGTCTAATTTTTTTAAAATGTATTTCAGGAAGTGAGAAATGTTTTAGAGAAGGTCCAAGATGAACAGGATCTTTTCCAGACTCTAGTGATGATCCTGGAGTATTTCACTTTGGCAGTAGACAAGTTAGTGATATGTAGAGACAGCCATGAGTTAGTCAGGTTTTTGTTTTTGTGAGTATTAAATTTTACTTTCCTGATTTTAAGCACACTTATTGAAATTTTATAGCATATTCTATATTTGACAAAGTGTCTTTAGATTATTGAAATATATTTGAAATAAAAAGTCATTCAGTGACCATTTTTTAAATTAATTATTGTTGTTCTCACAAGCACAGTTTCAACTATTGTTAATAATGTTTGCACTCAAGGTCAGGATTTTTGCAGAAAAATCTAAATATTATTTTTACTGAATCTTAGGTTAAGTAATAGTCCCCAGTAATAGCACAGTCGTGTGACTAATATGCTAAGCACGAGTGGTATTCGAAATAGTCCATGGTAACTGGCCAATCAGATGCCTGCAATTCTATAAGAGGTATAATATTAGAGCACATTCAGAACCTGTTGATCTGCAGACTAACTAGTCACCAGTTTAAATATGGCTTGCACGTGACTGTGGATTCCCGCCTTCCAAGGGTGCTGCCCCTGCAGGGGCAGAAAAATTTAATCATAGCTTGCTTTGAAGCGAGTAGCGCCATATTTGAGTAGTCAGCAGCCAGTGGATCAACAGCTTCTGAATGGGCCCTTACATCATATTTATCCCCTCATGCAGGGAGTGCTGTAAGCCTCTGGTCAGTCTAAAGCTGAGAGAGTGTGAGGAGAAGCTCCAGTTCAGCTTCAAGGTCACTCTGATCAAGGTCCACGATGCCGTGGTGACCACCTTGGGGTTCCCATACTTCTGGCAGCTGTATGGTATAGCCAAGGTACCTTGGGATGACATGGTGTGTAAGATGATGGCAGAGCAGGACTTGGACACAAAAGAAGGTATGGGTGCTAACTCACTAATTTCATACTCCATACTTTTTCAATAACATTTAAGAGAAGTACACTGTACACTTTGGAAATTCCCAAAGGTCAAATTGTATTGTGTTCATATATGCTGCAAATATTTCCCAATTCAGAAAATAAAAAAGAACCCTCATATGAAAGAACCTATGTCAGCAGTTCCTTATGAAATGTATAGGAAGAAGGGGCGAAAAACTTAATTTTTTTATCTTTATCTTTTATCACTCACACAAACACACTCTTAAAGCCCATACTCGCTGTTTAGAAACGGAAGTAGTTGGGCTTACTAAAGCCGTGAATATTTGCTGAAAATTCAACAAACAAATCTGAAGACGTGTTCCTAGAAAATCCTGAAAGCCTCTGTTGAGTGTTGTTATTGCTGCATTGTCACATAACTGTTACATTGTTTTTCCAGTTTTCACGTACATTGGTTCTCAGGACATGAACCTCATGCGCCTTCGTGCAGATGTCATGCAGAAAAATGACTGCGAGGCATACTGCATGAACCTTTGCACCTGGCTTCTGAAGCACCCCTTCTACCGCAATGACACCGACTTAAGGGCCAGGCAGCTCATGTTACTCCATAAGCTGGGAGAAAAAGATAAATTTCATGTTGAGGTTTGTGATTTTTATACTGTTATTTGAAAAATTTGGAGAAAGGAAAATAATTCTTTTTATTACATACAGACAATATTTTTCTGCATATTCTCGGGCCTTGTTAATGATGTGTGTTCTCAAGCCCATAGTGATCTTGAACACCTAATAGAACTAGGATTTCATGGTGCAAATCTAAAGAAACTTGTCAAGACATACCTAGCTTTCACTTGTCAATGAGTCTCTCGCTGTTAACAGTTGTTCTTTTTTCCTTGATCCCACACTATTTTCAATATCCTATAAAATACAAGAAACTGCATGTTAGAGCTTTTGGAGATTCCAATATGTTGATTTTTTATTTTTATCTATTAATGTTTATTCATTGTCTTTATATTTTCCAACTCTGCTTTTGGTGCCCTCTACGTTCT